AGTAGTACTCCAAGGTGGGACCCGGCTGCGGTGGATGATGAACTCCATGATCCTGGGGTATGGGGTTGTTCCCCAGGACCTGATTTACCGGGGGAGCCTGCTGAGGATTCCCCTGGTGTTGATTGTACTCTCCGTCCATCCCGTGCTCTTCTTCAGAATCACTGCTCATGGGGCCGTCTATGCGCTCTTCCGTAGCCAGTCTAGCTCGCTGTTGTCTCCTGAGCCGGCGACAGGTGCGGTCAATCTCTGGATTCAACGGCAGTAAACCTCCCGACTGGCTACGGGTCATGCACTACCTGCACACACTCAAGCAAGCAAACCCGTGAAGGCACAAGTGGGACAAAGCAAACAAAGCAAAAAGAAAAGCTAAATTAACAGAAATCACTTTTCTTCAACAACCTAGCCGTCCCCGGCAACGGCGCCAAAAACTTGACTCGACTCTACTGTCACTCCAGGAATTGGCCAAGTGTAACCACTTCCTAAAGCGTAGTATAGCGGGTTTAGGTTTAATTATCAACCCGGGTCCTAGATCTGATGACTACTCAGTGAATTCTTGTTATCTAGCAATGAAACTGGCATGCAAGTCTAAACTATCAAACTAACAAAGCAAGTAAACTGTTGTATTCAGGTTAAAGAGGTCACCCGGATATGGTTCCCCCTAGACTGCAGTTAAGCCGGATTGTAATTACCAAGTTCAGTTTCTATGAAGATTATACTGCGGAAGGTTCTTAAACAGCCTGAAGTCTCGACTAAAGGTCTTCAGACCCTCTCAATCTGACTCTCTAGCGGGCGACTAACCTCCACCGGAGTCGACAGATTGAGGCCCTAAGAACGAAACCTCCACTACCGGAGTAAATCCGGTACAGAATAGTGAGTTGGTTCCTCGACTAAAGTCACCAACTCCCTATCTTCAATCAAGGATACTCTATTAACCTTGGCAGATATTCTCATTCTAGGTTAAAGCAGAAACAACAGGAATTTGATCAGGATTCAAGTCATTCAATCATTAAAACCTCAATCGAATATAATCAATCATAGAATCAGTACTTGGGTTCATACAATCAAAGCCTAACATACAAATCTAGGGTTCTCCATACCCAGATGAATGGGAGAACTACTCCATGGAGAAGAAAGCAAAAGCAGAATCAGACGCGGAATTCATACTGTGAAGGATGGATTCCTGCTTCTAGATGTTGATCGGCACTTCTCCAAGCTCAAGCTGGCCTCCAATGGTGTTGAAGATCAATCTAGGGCACTTGGAGACTCTTGTTCGTCGCTTTCTCTCTCTAGGAACTGATCTCTCTCTCTAAAACTCGAATCCCCTTCTCTTTGGCTGAAAATCTGCTTAAAAAGGCATCACTGGCCAAAGCACGGTCGAGGGCACGGCCGTGCTTTGCCTGAGTCCGCCCATGTCTCGGCCAAGGTTAATTACACGGCCAGCAGTTGGGAGGAAACACGGCCGTGCTTCGCGTTGGATACGGCCGTGTAATGCTTGAACACGGCCGTGCTTTGTCTCGGCCCTGCCTGTGTAATCAGCTCAGCTCTCGGCATAAAAAGCACGGCCACAGGAACACGGCCGTGTAATGCCTTAGGTGTGCCCGTGTTTTGGCCCCAGCTTGACGAAATGACCTCTGAATGCCCCGAAACTCATGGATAGCCTTCCCTTTGACGCTTGGGACCTGAAATATGATAAAATAGCACAACCCGGTGTAAAATAGGCCAAAACACACGACTATACCCCTCAAACGGATAAGAACTAGGGGCGCAAACATGTGCAATTACATCGTTATCACCTGCCCAACACGTGACCCAACCCTTCCCATTCCATGACCCAACCAACCTTTTATCCTCCACCTCCCCGTGCGACTGAACAGAAGGCCGACCATTGCTAGGACTCTGCGACATCTCTCTCTCAAGTCACCTGACTCGCCGTCGTTGTTGATGATATTGGTGGGCGATTTGGAAAGAAGAGTCGATGGACATGTCGGCGGAGCTGTAGAAAGCAATGGGGGAAGCATTAGATTTGATTTGATTTTCGCCCCTGCACATCGCCTACACCGTTGCTGCGGCCGTCAACCTCACCACTGCTGTGGGCGTCAATTCTCGATCTTCTTCGTTATAACACTCACTTATCCCTTCCTATCCTAGTCCTTCACGTCGGACACCCTGACCGGCAGATCTTGGTATGGCTCAATGATTTTCTCGACCCTTCATCTTCCCACCCTTTGACGATCGTCTTCCCATCGAGAAACCCTAGTGAAGCTGAGAAGCCCCAAGGTTCAAGAACAGGAGCAAGAGAGCCTGACTCACTTCTACTGTCACTCCAGGAATTGGCCAAGTGAAACCACTTCCTAAAGTGTAGTATAGCGGGTTTGGGTTTAATTATCAACCCGGGTCCTAGATTTGATGACTACTTAGTGAATTCTTGTTATCTAGCAATGGAACTTTAATGCAAATCTTGACTAACAAACTAACAAAGCAAGTAAACGGTTGTATTCAGGTTAAGAGAGGTCACCCGGATATGGTTCCCCCTAGACTGCAGTTAAGCCGGATTGTAATTACCAAGTTCAGTTTCTATGATAGTTATACTGCAGAAGGTTCTTAAACAGCCTGAAGTCTCGACTAAAGGTCTTCAGAACCTCTCAATCTGAGTCTCTAGCGGGCGACTAACCTCCACCGGAGTAAACAAATTGAGGCCTTAACAAACAAAACCTCCACTACCGGAGTAAATCCGGTACAAAATAGTGAGTTGGCTCCTCGACTAAAGTCACCAACTCCCTACCTTCAATCAAGGATGCTCTATCAACCTAGGCAGATATTCTCATTCTAGGTTAAAGCAGAAACAACAGGAATTTGATCAGGATTCATGCCATTCAATCATTCAAACCTCAATTGAACATAATCAAATCATAGAATCAGTACTTGGGTTCATACAATCAAACCTAACATACAAATATAGGGTTCTCCATACCCAGATGAATGGGAGAACTACTCCATGGAGAAAGAAGCAAAAGCAGAATCAGACGCGGAATTCATACTATGAAGGATGGATTCCTGCTCCTGGACGTTGATCGGCACTTCTCCAAGCTCAAAATGGCCTCCAATGGTGATGAAGATCAAGCTAGGGCACTTGGAGACTCTTGTTCGTTGCTTTCTCTCTCTAGGAATCGCTCTGTCTCTCTAAAACTCGAATCCCCCTTCTCTTTGGTTGAAAATCTGCTTAAAAGGGCATCAGTGGCCAAAGCACGGTCGAGGGCACAGCCGTGTAATGCCTCAGCCCGCCCGTGCTTTGGCTAGGTTTAATTACACGGCCAGCTTGTTGGTGCAAACACGGTCGTGCTTTTGGGTGGACACGGCCGTGCTTTGGTCGACACGGCCGTGCAAATTCTCAGCCCTGCCCGTGTAATCAGCTCATGTTTGCCAAACTCGAATTAGCTCTCGGCAGTAAAAGCACGACCACAGAACACGGCCGTGTAATGCTTTAGGTGTGCCCGTGTTTTGGCTCCAGCTCGACGAAATGACTTCCGAATGCCCCAAAACTCGTGCTTAGCCTTTCCTTTGACGCCTGGGACTTGAAATATGACAAAATAGCACAACCCGGCGTAAAATAGGCCAAAATACACGACTATGCCCCTCAAACAGATAAGAACTAGGGGCACAAATATGTGCAATTACATCGTTATCAGAGCCCTCGCTAGCAGTCGATGCAACCTTGGCGACATCTCCTCCGCCACCTTCATCTCCTGTCCAATTCGTGCCTGATTCATGCTATTATCCACGAAAACAACAAGTGCTCCAAAATGGCGCAATTTCGAAGCGCTGCGCCTAGGGTTTCCTCTTCAGGCGGTATGGTGAGGGTTATTGAAACAATAGAGAGAGAGAAAGAGAGAAGTAGAAATGGAAAAGTTGGTCACTAGCGGAGGAATTGAGGGCAGGGCCTCCTCGGGTGAGGGTGTTGGCGGCGAGGTAATATTTTTAACGAAAAAGGATTGTATATTGGCGTGGATATGTGTTATTGAGGATTAAGGAAGGAGGAAAGGGGATGGAGGCGGCCACTCCCGCTTTCTAGTTGCGACGGAGAGTGTCGGGAATGAGGGTTTGGTTAGAAAGGGTAAGATAATTAGTGGGTTTGATTAGGAAGGTTGGGTCAATTATGGGTCGATATGGCAGGTTTCTGACGTGGCGGGTCGGGTTTCATTTTTTTTTAATTAAAATTGGGTGACTCAATATGTATGTTAGCCACATCAGCAAAAAGCTCACATTGTTAACGGAAGATACAAAGACTAACGGAATTAAAATTGGGCTCGGCGGGTGCCGCAAATGATTAGGTTATGTCTCACGAAGAATATGGTGGTGCAAAGCCGGCGAAATGGTGGGTAAGACGAAACTTTCGATCGGCTCCTGGCTCCTCCCTCATTGCATTTTCTTCTCCAATTGAACCCGCCTATGGATTCCGTTCAGCTCTTCAACCAGCCTCTCGTTTCGATGGTGTCTGGAATCTCTCGGCAGCCTCTTCAATGGTGGAAACGATGGAGGAAGGCAGAGATAATAAATGCTAAGGTGGAAACTGCAGGGAGAGAAATCGGGTCATGGGTCGAGAAAAGTCGGGTTGGGTCAAGAGTTGGGTTGGGGAAACTGATGTGGCGAATTTTGCTGACGTGGTGGGTCGGATTTCAAATTTTTAGGGCAAAAAATTGCTGATTAGCCCACTCCATTTGCCACATAAGCATATAACGGATTTAGTTAACAGAATTGGACGGAGACTAATGGAGAGTGACCAAACGTGGACTGTTTAACTAATTCAAGTGACCAACATTGAAATTAAATATTTCTAGTGACTAAACATGACACTTTTTAGTAAACTCAATGACCAAACTTGCAATTTAACCATATTTCCTCCATTAAAATTTTGATAATTACTAAACCAATCCAAGAAGCTCTCCACTCGCAAATAAATTGAATCTTCCCTCAGATCCCTGCTTTCAAAGTTCAAACCCACTACCGAAAGGTCGAATCTTTCTGCAGCTCTAGAGACATCGTCCACAGCAATTCAAACGTGGACTTTTCTGCAGCTCTAGAGACATCGTCCACGGCAATTCAAACTTGTACACTTTTGTGTGCTTTTCAGCAATTCAAAAACTCTCTTCTCACATTGATTTGCGGTAAGGGTATTTCTGTAAATGGCTCCCACCTTTTTTTTTTTGAACGTGGGATATGTCGACAAAATTTTGCATCGCCTCTTCAATCTTTTCTTTCTCCCCTGCCTCGGGCCTATCCTCCCCTTCCTCTTCTCTACTCACGATCTAAACCCCAATTGATTGGGATTTCTCTTCGATCTCTTCCATCTGCTGGAATTACATATCTGATGTCTTCCCTGTGAATCTGTAGGTCATGCTTTGCTCCTTTTGGTTTGCCTTCCCACAACAATGGAGAAGTGGACCTGGAGATCAGTTTCTTGAAGCCATTTTTTCCCTGGGACGAGAGATATAGGCATTGAATTTGTGGGTTTATTTAGTCCTTTATATTTTTTAGATATTTCATTTCTAATCGATTGAATTTGGTGAGCTTTTAGGAGGGCTCACACTGTTTGTATTTCACACTTTTTAGGTTTTTTTAGTTTGATTTTCCTTCCTTTGAATCCTTATACTGATTTCGTGTACTTTCCATTTCCTTTCCATAATCGACAGTCGACACATGGGAAGAAAACCACAGCTCTCATTTTTATCCACCTCATATTCTTCACAAATATGGTCTTTCGTTCATCGTAAGAATACGTTTGGGGCTGTCGACTTGATGCATTTATAACCTAATGACCCGGAGTTGGAAACCAAAACTTTGGACTTCGGAAGTGATACAGAGTGCTTGGTGTCTGGGTATTCTGACTCGGACTATGCTGGAGATGTTGACACGAGGAGATCGATGACCGGTTATGTATTCACTCTTGGGAGTTCTGTAGTGAGCTGGAAGGCAACTTTGCAGTCGGCGGTGACATTGTCTACCACTGAGGCAGAGTATATGGCGTTGATAGAAGCTGCTAAGGAGGGAATATGGTTGAAGGGACTGGTTGGTGATCTTGGTCTACATCATGATCAGGCAGTGGTGTATTGCGACAGTTTGAGTGCAATATGCTTGGCCAAGGATCAAGTCCACCATGAGAGGACTAAGCACATCGATGTGAGGTATCATTTCTTGAGGACAGAGAAGAGGATTAAGGTGAAGAAGGTTGGCACCGTGGATAATCCTGCTGATATGTTCACGAAGCCGGTTCCACATGGCAAGTTGCAACACTGCTTGGACTTGCTGAATGTCTTGAGTGGGTGACTCCGCCCTGCGGGGCATTGATGGCAGGAGAGAGATAGAAGGAGCAGAGTACATCAGAGAATTCAGAGGAAGAGGATTCAAGTCAAGGTGGAGATTTGTTGATGTGACTTGAATCGGACTATCAACCGCTACGACTGGTAGTCGGGGGTCTCGCTGCCCGGTCAGCGAGTGGCGTCCAGGGGCAACGCCCCGGTGGGGGTGCGGGGGCAACACCCCGGCCCACGGTGTATGGGCTCAATGTTATTTGGGTTCGGGTTCTGGGTCTGGTCTGTAACCGTTTCCTATGCCAGATTGGATTAGGTTTAGACCCACATGGAGAAGTATTATAAGTACTTCTCATTCTCCTCTGTAATCTGTAATCTCCTCGATATAGTGAAACTGGCTCTCTCTCGCCCGTGGACGTAGCTAACACACATCGTGTTAGTGAACCACGTAAATCGTGTGTCTGTGTTTTTCGATTTTCGCTTTCATATTCTTGCTTTATTGATTCCGGCAATTTTCCGATCCATAGCAGCGCGTTTATAACAAGCTTTGCTTCTCAAATTCTCATGGTGTCTTATTTCTTATTGTTTCAAAAATTCCTGATATTCTCCCTATCCCACGTGTAAATTTCAATCCACTATTCTACTGAGTTCTGCAGATGGTAATTTCATAGTTGCTAGGTTATTATGGCCACTGATATTTGAATCAAAATGTTACCATGTCTTTGTCTATGCATCTTTGTTTCACCTTTCGTGTTTGTTTTTGTCTAAGCTATTGTAGTGAAGAAAAGAAACGTATTCTCTCTTTTAGATCAATTTTGAGCTTGGCATTGCCTCAAACAGACTACTCGCCAGGAAATAACTGCTCATGTCGTAGAGCAAATGAAAGGAGACATTACACGGAGTTGATGGTTGTAGATAGTCTAGATAATTGATTTGACAAGGATTTCATAATCTGTGATGCATGTCTATAGTGACCTGATTTGGGTGGAATCAATGATGGTTGTATGATTTAGCGTTTGTTAGCTTCAACCCTCTGTACGTGAAAGTTCGGTCATTTGTTTCATAGTTATATCCCATGGTTTTAGTGGCTACATTGGACCGTGCTGAGATTGGTATATCTATTAGCGAAAAGGGTTGTTCGCAACTACTACTCTTCTCATTTTGTGATCATCATGAGTATTACTCAGGCCAACGAGTACACTTATGTTCATCAAGTTAAGATCAAGTTGACTTGGTAGTCGATCAAATTCTGACCAATATATCTAGGCTCTATTGTGTCTAATAGAGACGAAATTTGTATATATATTCCAAACGGCAGTGTATAACTTTGCATTTGCTTTTTTATGACACTTATTGTACAGATCCTCTCATTTTTGTAAGGCCCTACATGGATGCCTAAACACCTTATTGCAAAGCAAGAATTCTGCTGCATGTTACTAACTGTTCTTTTATTTTCCACTACAACGGGCTTACTTTCCCACTTTAGCTTCTAAGCCACTTTGAACCGGAAAAATCTTTTCCTTTCAGTCATCGAATAAACACCAAAGCCGACTACTTCAATGGGACACTCTATTGGTATGGATTCATTGGATGAAGCACAAAGGGGAACGACTTTCTTTCTTTCTGTCTTTAGCGAGAATTTTGAATCGGGATTGTAGCAATACATCATTGAATTGAGTTCAAGCTCATTACCTGGTGCATGTGAAATGTGAAGGCTGATGACCAATCAAGAGCCTATAATCTGTTTAGGGTATGCCTAGGGTTTTGATAGAATTTCGATTTGGAGGGTGTTATTAGTTTTTTTTTTTTTATAATCAACCTGCTGTTTATTTAAATAATAATGTTGCCATCACAGTCCTTTGCTAACGTTGAAAGAAGAAAAACAGGGGGTCTGGACACCCACTCTTCTTGGGCCTCCCAATTACACACCGTGTGAGCCATCAAGTGGGCCGCCGAGTTGGCCTGTCGTTTCGTGAAAGCCCACCTCACCTTATCCTCTCCCATTTCCGCTGCAAGCTCTTCGATCTCTTCCACAATCAATCCCACCTCTGTAAGCCTCCGATTCTCATTTCCAAGCTGCGAGAAAACCCCCTGGCAATCCGTCTCGACGATTATGAGAAGGAGTTGGTGGCGATTAGCAGTTAAGAGGCCGAACAGAACTGCTTTGGCCTCTGCCAGCTCTGGTGTCCACCGATTCTTCCTTCTGGTCACAGCTGCCATGACGAAATCTCCCCCATCATTCCTTACCACCATGCCCAAACCGACACCCTCATTCGCCACCACAGCGGCATCTACATTCACTTTGTACCATCCCTCCGGCGACGGCATCCAGGTAACCCGCTCGCCTTCACTTCCTCCTTCCTCCCTCTTTCTGTGTGATTGAAACTCTTCCAGTAGATCTAAGGCTCGGGGAACAATCTCCCAATCCTCCAATTTGTGGTTATTGAACAAGTGGTTGTTCCTCTCGTTCCATAGCTTCCATAGGATCATTCCCAACCTACTTAGCACTTCGTCATCAACTTTCTCCATTATCTCACAAAGCCAGCTGCCACTCGATAGACCTTCCCCTGATTCGAAAAGCAGTCTGTACTCCGTGGACCTCCAGATCCGTGTCGACCAGGAGCATTCCCTAAAAATATGATTTTGCGTCTCCACCTGGTTGCAATAGGGACATTCAACAGGGGCTTCCTTCTTCCTTCCCTCAATATTCTTCCCTGTCGGCAGTATATCATGGGTAAATCGCCAGAGGAAATTTTTTAGCTTTGGGGGGATATTTAAACCCCACAAACGCTTCCAGTTCATTGGGTCATAGACTTCCCCTATCAGATCCTCAGCCTCTTCGCCGATCTCCTCGCTATTAGTCTTCCTATTCCAGTATCTGTAGGCTGACTTGACAGTGTAAACACCAGACTTCTCCCAACTCCATATTCGCCTATCTGCTGCTGGTTGTCTAGGAATGGGAATGCCTTTAATTCGGGCTAGATCGGTGTCGTTGAGAACCTGTTCAAGTAGTTCTTGTTTCCACGTTCTGGAGTCATGGTCAATCAAATCCCCCACCTGGTTGCCCTCCTCCAACTCCACTCTCGTCGAGGTCACCCTGAACTCATCCTCCTCAGCTCCTGGGATCCACTTGTCGTCCCAAATGTTTATATTGGATCCATTGCCGAGTCTCCACCTTAATCCTTGTTTGACTAAATCCTGGGCCGCCATCAAACTACGCCAAGTGTAGCTTGGATTGTTTCCAAGAGTAGCGTCTAGGATTTCAGAATTTGGGTAATATTTGGCCTTCAAAACCCTCGCAACCAGGGAATCCGGATTGTTCATGAGATTCCAGATTTGCTTCCCAAGCAGAGCTAAGTTAAAGCCCTTTAGATCTCTGAAACCAATACCCCCTTCTTCTTTAGGTTTGCATAATTTCTTCCATGCTTTCCATGGGATCCGCTTCTCCTCTCCCTTTTGCCCCCACCAGAATGTCGATTGAATGGCGTGTTAGTATGACCAATAACCTTACAAAAATGAGTAATATATTTGCATAAATTGGTGAATATAATTATGGGCGATACTTGGCAGCAACCTGGGTTGCAGCCCATAGCAGCTTCCAGCACACATGGCACCTAAGGATTGGCCCAAAAATTATTTCGGGGTTTTTAATGGTTAAATGTAGTCTGAAGGTGGAGGGGACGGAACAGATTCAAATTTCCGTTATTTCTTTTCCTTTTTTGTTGGAGTGAGATAGAATGGTTCCATTCTTTTTCTTTTAATTAACTTTTACATTTACAATTACAATTTGGTTTCCTTCCTATAGGTTTTATCTTATAAATTTTACTTTCCTTTGGGTTTTTATGAGAAAACGGAGAGGGATGACTTTTTATAAAATATGTTAAGAGAAAAATAATTATGTCTAGACAAAATACATATGTATGGGTATAATCGGGCGGGTTCGGGTAGGATAGTGAGAAATCCATGCTTACCCATTACCCGCAATATTCGGGTTTTGGTTTTACCTGTACCCACTAAAAGTCCTTCGGATTCAGATTTTACCCTGTCCGGTTAGGTCGGATTCGGGCGGATATCCACGGTTACAGATATTTTTTCCATCTCTAAATGGAGCACATAAAGGTCCCACTTTTATTCTTTAAACCAATCTGAGTGTTTGTATTTTGATAGTTAAAGTACAACCAGTAAGCTAATGCACTAGTAGGTAGGTGCTCCAACAAATGTAGCCTTATGGGTAAATCATGTCTTCAGAGTGAACTAAATGAACCTCAAATTGACCCACTAGCCCAACCAATTATTAATCAAACTTTTCGAAATACAAAATATTAGTAAGTTTTTTTAACACATCAAAATTGCTATCGAAAAGTTAACATTTGACTAATATTTTAAAATTTTGAAAGATAAGACTAATAATTTGAAAAGTTAAAAAGGTTTGGCTAATAAATTGTATTTACCTATTTTTTATGTTGGGTTAGATTTTCACTTAAAAATATTGTCCACTCGACCCTACCCAATCATAAACAAATCGTAGGGTTCTAATTTTTTGGTTGGATTTGGATTTAGTAGGGACCTTTATGTGCTCTGTTTTTCATAAAAAACCAAAGGAAAGTAAAATTTATAAGATAAAACCTATAGGGAGGAAACCAAATTGTAAATGTAAATGTAAAAGTTAATTAAAAAGAAAAAGAATGGAACCATTCTACTCTCACTCCAACGGAAAAGGGAAAGAAATAACGGAATTTTGAATCCGTTCCGTCCCCTCCACCTTCAGACTACATTTAATCATTAAAAACCCGAAATAATTTTTAGGCCAATTCTTAGGTGCCATGTGTGCTGGAAGCAGCTACGGGCTGCAACCCGAGTTGCTGCCAAGTATCACCCATTAATTATTAGGGATAATAACAAAGTTAGTAGATTATTACCTTAAACTCTAGTTAGTTCGGGATTTATCCATACCACTACTCCTACAAGGCTTGGGTTGTTAATCAAAACCAAATCCATAATTGTTCGGATTTTGGATATCCATGAATATTCTCATTTAGTAGTATTATGCATTGGCAACTAGTATGAAAATTTTAGGAGTATAAAATTCCGGCTATATAATCCAGTAATCATATGTAAAAGTAGTATCGAATTCACGAATAAATTGTTAAAAATGAGTGCCTTAACATATCTTTTTTATGTTGATGAAATGGTTGCCTTAATAAGTCAATATCCATGCACCGCCCTACGCTACTACAGAGTTGGGGTGGGTCGACCCACTCATATACATGTTAATTAAAAAAAAATACATGCAAATTTTACTTTTCACAATAAAATGAAGGAAAACACTTTAATATAAATGAAAAACAGTGATAATAAAATGGGTAATTGAAGATAATTAGTTGAAAAATCAAGTCTAACTAGTTGAATAAAAATTAAATTAGGAGAAATATGAATAAATATCCATGCTCCATTCCACACTACTACAGTCGGGAAATACGAGTCCTTCACAGATCAAGTCGGGTAATACCCGGCGTGACGGATTGAAATTGCGAATGGGAAATGCACAGTTCAGTCTTGTGGAAGAATATGCAGGGTTCAGTCTTGCACTAAATTACACGATGTTAGTGGCAGACAAGTCCATCAGTGGGAGACTTTGACACTTGTGACTTGATACCGGGCAACGACTCAGGTCTCAGAGAGATGTATAAACGATATCCCAAGTAAAGAACAGCTGCTCCAACTCTCAAGCAGAGAGATCGAAAGAAAAGAGAGACATTTCAGAAAAGAAAAGAAAAAAAATGAGGATATTAGTAGGGAGATCATCCAAGGCATATTCTAACAATTGGTTCACTACTGCAATTATCATATGGGCTGTGCTACTTTTCACCGTTACAGAGTTGGATCGCTGTAATGGGTGTCTGGAAAGCCAGAGGATCGCTCTCCTCCATCTCAAGTCCTCCCTCGACAACCCAACTTTGTCTGAGTAGTTGGAATGGCAGTGCTGCTGATGAATGTTGCCATTGGCATGAAGTCTCTAGCTTGTGAAGGCTCCATCAATGGGGGAGTGACTGTGCTTCGATCAACCTGGAAGTGCTCGGTTTGACTAGGAACAATATACGTGTATTGAAAGGTGATCTCCGAATATGTTTTTCTAATTGTGTCATAATGTTTTAGCTACAGTTTTGTTACTGAAGTGATATGCATTACATACTTACCATACATATACTATTTGATGATTGATTTTCTTCTCCCTACTTTTTCCGAATTTCTTGATCACTATGATGAATAAGAATGGAATTCCTTAGCAATTTAAACTGCCTTTCGATGAGTGCGAACAACCTAGACGAACTTCAAGGTATGATTGTATCAACTGAATTTAACGATACTCCTTTCAATTATCTCAAAGTATATACATACATTTAAACTAACTCTTGTTTTGGTTTGTTGGTCAATGTGTTGGGTTTGTATTATATATGATCATACGGGAATTTCTAATTTCACTCAGCTGGATGAGATATGGCTGGAAAACTTCTCATCAACGTCTACATTGCTTCGAAACGTTTCGGGAGTTTCTTCCCTCAAACGATTAGGTTTCTCAAGCTCTCGTCTACAAAACTCTCAAGGTAACCTTACTTATAGACACCTAGTTAGTAATTATTAATAATGAAACCCATTAACCTATTGATAACATATATTAATTAAATATTTAATTTAACCATGGGATAATTATAATAGGATGGCCTAGTTTTGGATCTTTGGAAAGTTTGCAAATAACATACTCGACCGTGGACGACAACTTCCTCGAGGCCGTTGGCATGACGATGACTGGTCTTACTCAGTTGCAGATTCAGAATTCAACTCTCGGCTCGGGTACTTTTCCGGAAGATGAATGTCGTTTGTATATATAAGTTGAAATTGGTTTCCTCTTTTAATGCATGCATGTCTTTCTCTAACTAACATTTATTTTCTTACAATAATGTACAGCGGTGTGTAACTTAAATCGTCTCGAAATACTGATTCTCTGTGAGAATAATCTGATAGGTGAACTGCCACAATGTCTATCAAATTTGACTTCATTAAGGGTTATTGACATTAGTTCCAATGAACTACGGGAGATATAGCTAAGTCCCCGCTAACAACTCTCTTATTACTAGAATATATTTTTATTTCTGACAATCATTTTCGAATACCACTCTCATTTGCTCCATTTTTCAACCATTCCCGTCTCCAAATGTTTTACAGGGAGGGCAACAAGGAGCTCTATAGAGAAAAGAATGACGATTATGAGACGAACCAGCATGATACTCCTCCACTTTTCCTTTTGAACTACCTGATTTGGTCTTCGGAGAGCTATGATTATCATGGTGGCTACTATGTTGGTTCATTCCCAAAGTTTCTCTACTACCAAACCAACTTGAAGGTAGTTGATATCTCAAACGTAAGGGAGGTGTTGGGTTCCCATGGTGATTGCTCGCTAATATTACCAACTTAGAATTTCTTTCTCTCCAAAATTGTTCACTCTCGGGGTCCTTGCAATTCCCAGTCCATCATCGTCCCCAAGAGTTCTCCGATAAAATTCCAGAACAATGTTTTCGTGGTTAGATGCTCGAAATAATGCACTCTCTGGTGAGATTCCAAGATGGATTTGGAGTATGCCTCAAATCAATTTCGCGGACCTTTCAAGCAACAGTTTCTCGGGAAGTCTACCACCATGTTTCATTTCTCCTCATACACGAGGAGTTTATTTGTCAAAAAATAAATTGGATGGAACCTTATTCGGAGAATCAGATTATCATGGGATCTCTACTGTCAAGAACGAATATGAAAAATATCATTTGAGGGTGTTGGATCTCAGCTACAACCACTTCACGGGTACATTTTCGACATGGATTGCTGAAATGCCTCAACTAACTCACCTGTTATTAAACGACAATGATTTTCATAGTGAAATTATGGCTCCTTTATGCTTGGGACAACTAAAGTTGATTGATGTTTCTCACAATAGACTTTCTGGTCGTCTTTCCTCTACATTGACTTTCAACCACACGAAGTGCAACACAAGCAAGAAGCATATCAACTTCGTATATAGTACTATTGGTATAGAATTTATGACCAAGTCCAATCGATATATTTACAAGGGGGAGCCTCTTATGTTAATGTCTGGGTTGGATTTCTCGAACAACAATTTCTCTGGCGAGATTCCTCCTCAAATCGGTCATCTGGACACCATTAAAGTTCTCAATTTATCATACAATATGTTGAGAGGGCCCGTTCCACCCACGTACTCAGGCCTAATAGCGATTGAGACTTTGGATCTTTCTCACAATAATTTGAGCGGTGTGATTCCTAATCAACTCACAGAGTTGAATTCTCTATCTTCTTTTAGCGTGGCGTACAACAAATTATCTGGTAAATGTCCTCGGACAATTGAACAGTTTGCTACATTCGACGAAGACAGCTATAGGGGGAATCCTCTTCTCGTCAACTGCACTTTACCACAGTCGAAGCGGAAACCTCCTGTAGCGCAGACGCCCACCGATGACGATAATGATGAAGACGGAGGCTACATTGACATGGACAGCTTCTGCGCAAGCAGTGGAGTGTCTTTTGTGTTGGTACTACTAACAATTGCGAGTGTTCTGTACATCAATCCATACTGGCGGCAGGTGTGGTTTTATTATGTCGGAGTGACCATAACTATGTGCTACTATTTTTTGGTGGACCATCTTCCAGTACCGATGAGGTACAAGTTGTGGGAACTTCGTGTCTAGCTAGTAGTTGATGATGGTTCTGCGAACAACATATCCGGAAGAGTGGTTTACATAATCCTATGTGGATAGAATAATCGTTATTGATAGTTCTCATCAGCGAATAATCTCATTTATATTTATGTAGTAATTAAGTACTCGAAAAACTACAAGTCTCTGTAATGTTTCCTTAGTTCCTATTTGGGCTGCTGCTTCTTCTTGTGGTGAACAAAGACAAACCTGAGCTGCTGCATGCATTGGCTGAAGTCCACCATGGACACGTGGCGTCACGGTCAACGCAAAGGAATCCATAAACACAACTGTGACAGAGTCGGCCGGATTTCCCTTGTTTCCGATTACGCTCAGGAAATGGAAACAGAGGAACGAAAAAATTCCTCCCAATATAAAAAGAAACGGAAAGAAGAAGAGATTCCTCCCAACCCAACCCATCGCAAATCAAGTCTCAGCAATGGCGACTATCAGTTCTTCTCCTTCTTCAGTGAATTCCTCCAAGACTCAGAGTACTACTACGTGCATCTGCTCGTCGATGAACCACCCGGGCTTGTTCTGCTGCAGCCGCCACAGGAACCAGCCGAACTGAACCAAGTCAGCTTCCGCGTCGACGATGGCAGCAACTGCCAGTTCTTCTTCGGTGAATTCCTTCTAGACTCGGAGTAGTACTGCGTGCCTCTGCTCGCCGACGAACAACCCATGGTCGTTCCGTTGCAGCCTCCACAAGAACCAGCCGAATCGAAACGAATCGGCGGTTGCCAGCTCTTCGTCTTCTCTGGCCAATTCCTTCAGGACTCGAACTACTACTGCGTGCCTCTGCTCGCCGGCGAACAACCCACGGTCGCTCCTTTGCAGCCTCCACAAGAACCAGTACCCGAACCCCAGCAGGGAAGTACTGGCGGCGTCTCCAGTGAAGGCGAAGGCGTTCACGACGAGGGCCTTCCTGCGGCGGATGATCAAGCCGCCCCGTCAAGACGAGAAGCGGCGGGTCAATTTCCGGCCCACGCCGTCGAGGTTCTTCACGATGCACGCCAGCAGCAGCGGCAGCGTAGCGGTTTCGTAAATAGGACTCACCAAGGTTATATATATATTGTAGCTTAGATTAGTCGTTTGATTAATATGTAAACAGGGACAGAAACTTGTTTTGTGATTTTTTGTATATATCTTATGGTAATTCATTCATCCAACCCTCTTTGTTTTGTGGGTTTATATAGTTCAACTACTCCATTAATTAAAGTTGTCACTGTTTCTCGATACTCTTGTCTTGAGATGATGATCCGTCGCCAAATATAAAAGGGTAGGGTAAATGCCTTTTGAAGTGTCACTAAAAGTGGTAACCCTAGAGGCTATATTTGTTCAATTCGTTGCTATAAACCTTTGCCCTAATCCTTTTGGAGAATGAATAAAATTCATATCCCGAGTCTTGGATTAAAAGTCATAATGTAGAAACTGCGTCATATAGAGTCGTACGTAGTCAAAGAGGAGTGTAACTAGCTTGAGACTTCACTTTAGAAACATAAACTTATCTTTTCCGAGTAAGAATTTCGACGGTGTAGTTATAAGTTATTATGAATAATTATTTCTCGTCCCCTTATGCAAAGCAATGCAACACACCATTGTATTGAGTTCAAGCTCCTTAACATGGGCACCTGAAGGCTGATAACCAATTAAGAACATCTAATCTGCTTTGGGTATGCCTAGTGTTTTGCTAGAATTTCGATTTCATTTGTCGGGTGTTATCACTTATTAGTGTAGATCTCCTCGGCCTCTTATTAAAAGAATGGCGTGTTAATATTAACAATAACCTTACCAAAATGAGTAATTTATATGCATAAATTAGTGAATATATTATTAGTGATGGCAATGGTCGGTTCAGAAACAAATAGTAGATCATTACCTTATACCCAATCTAATTAGTTAGGGATTTATCCATATTGCACTACTCGTATAAGCTTTGGGTTGTTAATCAAAACAAAACTCATAATTGTTCGAATTTTGGATATCCATAAATACCCACATACAATACTTTTCTCTTTATAATTTTATACAATGAGTTATTATTTGTAAGCATATTATTATACAGTTAAAAAGTTACTACAAGTTAGTAAGATTAAGAGAAATCATAATAAAGGACACTTATTCATTGGGATGTAATATGTGCATTGGAAAGTAGTATCGACATTTTCGGAGCATAAAATTTGAATGATATACCCCATAAATATGTAAAGTAGTATCGAATTCAAGATATATTATACATACGAAGTGTGAAAGGGAGCGTAGTACGTTCAAGCAACTATTAATTAGGTTGATGTCCTCTTCTTCTAATCTGATTGACACAAATTTCATATAGGAATTGACGTCGTACGCTAAAAATTAGCTCAAATTACGTATAAAAAAATCATACGTAATAACTCCATAACGTACCCATACCATATTTTACTAATCATGTCCTCAAGAACTATGATGAACTAATTAGGAAGATAGCCAGTGTAAAGGGTTATAGAATAATATGTCCCTCTACTATGTCGTTTTATCAAACATGCCCCCTACTATTTTTTACATCGGATATGGTTTTGTACTTTGGAAAAATGATCAAATATGTCTTTTTGTTAAAATTTTCATCCAAAAACCATAAACCACGGCCGAACCTTGGTTTGGGCGACACAAATGTCTAAAATATCCCTAATAATTTTACTTTAGAATTTTTTTGGTTCTTTTGTATAGCCAAATACCTCTAATAATTTCACTTTAACGAGACCTAGTAAAATAAATCAGGTGACAAAACTGACATTTCCACTTCCATTTACCGATGTCGGGGTCGTCTAAATCTCAGCTAAACTACGTTGATGATTTTTTTCAATGAAATTTTTAACCGAATGACATGATTAATTATTTTTCGAAAGTACAAAAGCATGTTTGATGTAAAAAATTGTAGAAAGACACCGATGAAACGGCATAATAAAAAGATACTACAACCCCATTATAAACGCTATACTCATCATTTTGGAAAGAAAGTGAGACGTGTGGGCTCATTGAAGTCTTCCTCCCCTGCCCAAAAAAGCTCTGGCCTTTCCACACCATCTGGAGAAGGGTTGAACCGTTGAAGATTGACGTTATTGAAAAGAAGATGGAGTGGGGAAAGGAGAAACGAGTCAAGAAGATGGAAAAAGGATGTAGGAACTGGGCAGAGGATAGAGTCAGTAACCAATGGTTACTGACCTGTCAGTATTAAATTCGGAGCGTAGATGTAGGAATGACATTATTATATTGTTGGGCTGCACGCGAAGTGAGGAGGGGCATTTTTGTCTGATTTTTGAAATTTGATTTCTTTCCTGTTTTTATTTTTTCCAGCATTTATATGTTTGTCATTTAATGGAGGAAAGAGAAAAAGCAGACTTCTCTCTTCCTCTCTCTTTTCTCTTTCTCTCTTTCTTTTTCTCTTCCAAACTCCTTTTTCCAGATCTAAATCTCCTTTCTTCTCTTGTTCTTCATTTTTTTCTCTGACAATCGATGAAGAAATTGCAGCCTCCCACCTCAAATTCGGTGACGTTCCAAATCCTTCTTCTCTCAAGCTGCTCCTTCCTTCTGTTTTTTTCTTTTCTCGGCCTCAAAATCGATGATGCTCCATATTGTCAAAGAGGGGACAGATCTAGGTGAGTTGAGTTTGCATCTTTTGTGTTTTAGTATTTGTTTGTGAATTAATTCCGATCTTCTTCCTCTTTTACTTTCTTTTTGCATTTGGTGTTCTTGATTGCGGAGGAGTAAATGTGAGGAGACAGAAGACGAATTTTTTTTCCCCTCTTCCTCCTTCTCTTTCCCCTTCTTTGAGAATATATATTGATATTACCACATTATACTATATGGTAATGTGTGCTAACTAAGTGTATTTTTATAGTCACGAGTTTTATCATGGCGGTAGTGGGTGGTAATCGCACCAGTTCCGAGAAAGAAGAGTTAGAAGACAATGAAGGGAGAGAAGAAAGTGAAGAAAGTCGTAATTGTATACATATATATTGAGATTACCACACTATACCATATGGTAATGTGTCCATACCATATGGTAATGTGTCTATACCATATGGTAATGTATGGTAACGAAATGTATTTTTATGAATATCATGTTTTTACTATGGTCGTAGAGGGTTGTAATTAGATTTACATGGTTTTACCTTCTCATACCATGTGGTATTATATGGTAATTATAATTAATTTATGGTCCTTTGATTTACCATGTTCTACTATGGTGGTATTGTATGCTAGTTAGATTTATAATTTTCTGTAGCGTGGTTTACCAAGTTATACCATGTGGTGGTAGTTTGATTTGTAATTTTATTTTAGCATGTTATACCATATGGTATGGTATGGTAATTAGATTTGTAAATCTCTGTAGCATGTTTTACCACGTTATACTATGTGGTATTGTATGAGTTAGATTTTTAATTTTCTTCAACATATTTTACCATGTTTTACCACGTTTTACCATGTGGTATTGTATGGTAGTTAGAATTGTAATTTTCTTCAACATATTTTACCATGTTTTACCAAGATAGTAGAAAGTGATAATCATATTTATACTTGTAATTAGTGTCTTTAACAATGTATTGTTTAACGAAAAAATTACATTCAATTTGAGCTGGAATTAGTTTAGAGATAGTTAGGATGGTTAGATTCATTTTTGTTGTAGATGGGAGAGAGAAGAAATAATATATTTTTTCTTTTAATAATAAATAAAACAAAGAGTGAGAGAAAGGGGGAACCAGACAACCAGTGTGGGTTGGGGGAGTGGGATCCGCGTTGCGTCGCGTCAGCGTCATCATTAAATAGGGGGTGCAATTTTACCTTAGTGTCCCTTCGTGTTTAATTTAAATAAAAAGAAAAAGCTGACACGTGGGGACAGATGATTGGATTACTGACAGTTACCTCACTGCCGCCGCAGAATCGTTTCAGACCTCTCATCGTTCCGGGGAAGTTGTGTGCGTGTGTATAAAAGAGTCCCCAAACCAAACGATCTTGAAACAGAGCTACACCTTAATTTCCTCTGCAGTACTGGCATTCTAGAGTTTTCAAACAGAGAGATCAAAGATGGGTTATGGCTGGTTCATCACTGGCTTCATATGGGCTGTGGCACTGTTTACAGTTCCGGAATGGAAGAGTTGTTATGGCTGTTGGGAACAAGAAAGAATCAGTCTTCTCCATCTCAAAGCCTCACTCTCCAATCCGCCTGCTCTGAGCAGTTGGAGCGCAAAGGGAACAAACCATTCCGACGATGACTGTTGCCAATGGGATGGAGTTGATTGCGATCTCCTTCTTGATTATCCCTACGATTCTTATATCAATTCACAAGCGAAGCCGGATATCAATGCTTCTCTGTTTCTGCCTTTCCAAGAATTGAGACGGCTTAAACTACAAGGCTTTCATATCACTGGCTGCATCCAGAATCAAGGTTAGAGTTTACTTACATCCGATTAACCAACACTGCTCTCAATTTGCTACAATATACCAATTGGTAGTAATCACTGCATATGGATGCAGGATGGCCGCATTTGGAAAGTCTGGACATAGATGATTCCACCATTTCATGCAACAACTTCCTTGAAACAGTTGCCACCGTCATGACCAATCTTACTCGATTGAGGGTTGCAGATTCGGATCTTAGCTCCCCCATTCCTCCAGGTATTGTTAGTTCGTTTCTCTTTCTCCCTCTTGGGGTCGATTAATTGGTGCATTATAGCACCCGTTATAGCACCTTGGGCCTTGGTGCCGAGTTGGGTTTAGTCGTTAGGGTATTATTATTAGTTAATTGTTATGTTATTGTGATTATTTAGTGATATTCGTATTAGTTTATTGTGTCTTGTTGAGTAAGTTATTAGTTACCTTGTCATAATCGGATAGGGTTAGCTATTAGGTTTTCTTACGTTTTCCTATAAATATGTAAGTTGTTCTTTGGGTTTCGCTAAGCAATGAATAAGAGTAAAGTAAATTAGAGCAATTTAGCTATCTTTATCGCGTTTCATTAGTTTCGTAGAAGAGTTCGAGTTCCACGATACGTGAGATTCCGCTATCACGCATCATTAATTAAGCGGCATGTGTACTCTATATATAAGTAGCATTTGTAGTTCTTACTATGTTTTGTCATGATCGTTGCAGCTCTATGCACCCTAAAGCGTCTCCGAGAATCAAACCTCCGTGACAATCGACTGAGGGGTGAGTTGCCGCAATGTCTATCGAATTTGACTTCGCTCCAACGCTTGTCCATAGGCGGTAATCAATTTTCTGGAGATATATCATTGTCTCCTCTTCCAGCTCTCTTGTCCCTCGAGTATGTAGACATTTCCAACAATCAATTCCGAATTCCAACTTCTCTCTTCCCATTTTTCAACCACTCGCATCTTCAATATTTCTGGGGAGGTGATAACCGAGAAATATATGGAGACGACCATCTTGATTTGGTACTGCAACAGGGTACACCACGATTCCAGCTAATAGACTTGGAATTATCTACGTGGCCGGATTATGGTGGATATGTTGGGCCCTTCCCTAAATTTCTCTACCATCAGACCAGATTGAAGTTGGTTTTTATCTCAAACTTCAACATAACTGGAGTTGATACTGGGTTCCCGTGGTGGTTAGTGACTAACAATACACATTTGGAATTCCTTTCTCTCACCGACTGTTCACTTTCAGGGCATTTTCAAATTCCAATCCATCAGCAACAACACCATCCTCATGCAAATCTAAGGGGATTAAGTATCTCCGGCAATGACTTCTTTCCTAGTACCATCCCACCTGATATATGTGCGGCCCTTATCTGGTAATAAATTCTACGGTGAAATACCACAAGAATTGTCAAATTTTCCATCGTTCCGATTGTTAGATGCTAGTAATAATCAACTCTCAGGTGAAATTCTGAGATGGGTTTGGAATATGTCTTTCAACTCCATTCTAGACCTTTCAAATAACAAATTTTCAGGATGTCTGCCACCGAGTTTCATTTCTCCATTGATGAGGGAAGTATATCTATCAAGAAATCAGCTGGAAGGAACCTTGCCTGCCACACTATCGGACAATGAATATGGGATATTTGGTGCTGGTAATTATACAAGCTACTCAATAGGTGTCTTGGATCTAAGCCACAATCATTTGATGGGTACAATCCCAAAATGGATTGGTAGGTTGCCTCGAATGAGCTATATCTTTTTGAATTACAACCAGTTTCATGGACATCATCCAAGTACCTTTTGCTTGGAAACCTCAAAGTTGATTGATGTTTCTCATAATCATCTGTCTGGTCATATCGACTCTGAAATATTCACATCAAATGGCATCAACTGTAATGCACGGAATGCATTTAATAATCCTCTGCAATATCTGGAGTTCGTGACAAAGAAAAAAAAATATACTTACCATGGGAAGCCTCTCTATCATATGAATGGTTTAGATTTCTCGAGCAAAAATTTCACCGGAGAGATCCCTCCTCAAATCGGCCATCTGGGCGACATCAAAGTCCTTAATTTTTCACAGGATCCATCCCTGTGATTATTGCAAACCTATCACAGATTGAGAGTTTGGATCTTTCTCACAATAATTTGGGTGGAGTGATTCCTTCTCAACTCACGAAGTTGCACTCTATATCCACTTTTAGCATTGCTTATAACAACTTATCTGGTAAGTGTCCTCGAAAGATTGCACAATTCAATACATTTGATGAAGATATCTATCTAGGAAATCCTCTTCTTGACTGCACATTACCACTCATGACACCAAATCCATTGGTAAGGCCGACAACATATCATGGCGATGAAGAAGGAGAAGGAGAAGGTGGGTTCATTGACATGGAGAGTTTCTACATCGGTGGCTTGGTATCTTATGTCATAGTGTTGTTGGTAATAGCGAGTGTTTTGCGTATAAATCCATATTGGCGACGGGTATGGTTTTATTGTGCTGATGTCGCCTTAACTACTTGCTATTATTTTGTGGTGGACCATCTTCCTGTGCCAACCAGGTATAAGGTGTGGGAACCTCGCATATAGCTGACAATTTCGTAGACGACCAGAGGGATGAGTAGTTGGTATATGTAGAATGATGGATGTTTCTTCCGCAATGGATAAATTTCGATGTATAACGGTTTCTAATATGTATTTTTTTCTTCTGAATTACAAGTCTTTGTAATATTAGTAGCTCATGTTAGCACTGCACGTCTGCACCAATAATGGTTAGTGAATCAGACGTTAATCAATTACGGTAGAAGTAGGTGTGATCAGAACTCACAAGTTGGAACAATTACTTCCTGTGTCTTAATTAAATGAAAGGTAACCCAACAAGTTCTTGTATTGTACTGAATTCACACTCATTATAATCGTCATGAGATATTAAGAGGTCTAATAACGGTTGATCTGTGCTGGATGAAGCCCATGGTCCATGTAATTGAGCTTGCAATTGGTCGATGAGACGCCTCTACAAGGAGCCTATAAGATATGTAACTTCATAATTCTTACAATAACTCTTCAATCTCAAGAGGAATGTGTTTTGCCAATTAAAATTAAATTGCTATTGATAATTTTTATCACCAGGAAATAATGCAATAAATACCACCATTGCAATAAATAAGTAAAACATCTCAAAATCATAGTACTTAGTCACCGCAATGGTCTGCCGTTTTAGTAACCAATAAATACCACCATATCCGGGTGACCTCTCTCGACTTGAAAAAACCGTTTAACTTGCTTTGTGTTTTTGTTTGTTTGAACCTGCACTTAAGTTTTACCGCTAGATAATAAGAATTCACTGAGTAGTCATCTTATCTAGGACCCGGGTTGACATTAAAACCCAAACTCGCTATACTACGCTTTAGGAAGTGGTTTCACTTGGCCATTTTCTAGAGTGACAGTAGGAGTGAGTCAAATTTTTGGCGCCATTGCCGGGGACGGCTAGGTTGTTGAAGAAAAGTGATTTCTGTTAATTTAGCATTTTCGTTTTCGCATTGACTGTTTGTTCTTTCCCACTTGTGCCTTCGCGGGTTTGCTTGCTTGATTGTGTGCTGGTAGTGCATGACCCGTAGCCAGTCGGGAGGTTTACTGCCGTTGAATCCGGAGATTGAACGCACCTGTCGCCAACTTAGGAGACAACAGCAAGCTAGACTGGCTACGGAGGAGCGCATAGACGGCCATTTGAGCAGCGAGTCCGAGGACGAATACGAGATGGAAGGAGATTACAATCCACACCAGGGGAATCCTCACCACGTTCCCTCGGTGAATCAGGTCTTGGGGAACAACCCCATACCCCAGGCAGATGGGGTTCATCATCATCCACCGCCGCCGGGTCCCACCTTGGAGTACTACTACACTCCACGGATTGCTGACATCCGCCCGGTCATCCTCTACCCACCTAGTCCAGCGAACAACTTCGAGATCAAGCCATGCTGGATTCAACTCATTACATCCTCTATCCAGTTCCATGGCTTGAAGGATGAGGAGGCAAGGGTACATCTTTCCCGTTTTCTGCAGCTGACGAACGGGTACAAGCTGAACGGTGTCCCTGATGATGCAATCCGCTTCACCTCTTCCCCCATTCTCTAGCGGGGAAAGCTAAGAGGTGGTTGGAGACCCAGCCCCCATTGTCCATCACTTCTTGGGATGATATGGCTGACAAGTTCGTGCACAGGTACTACCCAGCATCGAAGACCACAGAGATCCAGCGGGAGATCACTCACTTCCGCCAAGAGCCAGACGAGTCACTTCGTGATGCATGGGAGCGGTACATGGGATATTTCTGGCAGTGTCCCCATCATGGCTTCAGTGATGCATTCACAGTGGGGAACTTCTACATTGCCCTCTCTCTGGACAGCCAGAGGGTGATTGAGTCTCTATGCCCAGGAGGGGATATTCTTACTAGGACTCCACCCGAACTGAACCAGATGATCAGTACCTTGGCTTCCAGAGATCATTCCTGGGGGCAGAGCAGCAGAGGTAGACATTCCCGGGACCGTGGTGTGCATGCCATGGAGACCAGATCCGGGCTCGAGCAGCATGTAGCCGAGTTAGTGTAGACATTGAAGCAGCCCAACAGTCTTATTCCGGGCAGAGGTTTGGCTACACCTCCAGTAGCTCAATGTCATTGGTGTGAGAGCTCAAATCACCTAGTGGAAGACTGCCAGGCTATGAGGGAATCTTCTACTCCCCAAGAGAAGTTGGACTTCATCGCCAATGCTCGGCGCCTCGACCCGTACAGCAATACATATAATGAGGGGTGGTGCCAGCATCCCAATTTCTCTTGGATCAGCAACACCACTAAACCACCTGGTTTCCTAGCACCAGCTGGTGGTTTTCAGCAGAGGCAACCTTTTCAGGCTAGATAGGGGCCAGCCCCACAGCAGCAGCCCTACCAGCTTAGGTAGGGGCAACCATTCCAGCAGCCCCAGCGTCAGTATGCCGAGCCAGCAGCAGCTCCGGCTCCAGATAATCAGATGACGGAGCTGAAAAACATTCTAGCGTCATTCATGACTACCACTCAGGCAACTGTCATGAGGTTGGACCAGATCATAGCCTCACTGGAGGCAGGTCAGAGGAACCAAGGTGCCATTTTGCAAGATTTGCAAAACCAGATGGGTAGCATGGCTCGCCAAAACACTACCAGGGCACCAGGGACTCTGCCTGCCACCACTATTCCGAATCCTCGTGAGCCTCACCAGCACCAGCATATAGATGCCATCACTACCAAGAGTAGCAAGACCACATCTGCTGCTCCTGCCCAGCCCAGTCAAGATGAGCCACTACCTGCTTCAACACTTCCAGCTGATAATGCAGAAGTGGGCGGAGACAAAGAAACACCTGCTCCCAAGCCACAGCTAGTGGTTAAGGAGCATGTACCTCAGCTTCCTTTCCCCACTCGCCTACATAAAGACAAGCTGGAGACTGAGTTTGCCAAGTTCATGGCAATGTTGAAGCAGGTCAACATCAGCATGCCGTTCATGGAGGCACTGTCGAAGATGCCCAAGTATGCCAAGTTCATGTAGGACCTCCTCACCAACAAGAAGAAACTTGGGGATCTTTCGACAGTGATGGTGAGCGAGGAGTGTTCTGCTATCCTGCAGAACAAGCTTCCCGAGAAGCGCAAAGACCTAGGGAGTTTCACTATCCCTCTTGTTATTGGCAGCATGCATGTAGGAAAGTCCTTGGCGGATCTAGGCGCTAGCATAAATGTCATGCCCTACAAATTGTTTAAAAAGCTAGACCTAGGTGAACCTAGAGCTACTAGGATGAGCATTCAGTTAGCTGATCGTTCCATCGTGCATCCTAGGGGTATCATTGAGGATTTGCTTGTTAATGTAGGTGCATTCACATATCCTGTTGACTTTGTTATTTTGGATATAAATGAGGATGTGGATGTACCTTTGATTTTGGGTAGACCGTTTCTCGCCACCGCCAAGGCGCTTATTGATGTGCATAATGGTAAATTAATCCTGCGTGCTGGTGATGAACAGGCTACTTTTTCTGTGTCTGAGAATGGGAAACACTCCCACTTGCATGATGACATAGATTACTGTGATGTGCTTGCTGATTTTGAGACCGCACTCGCTATAACGAGTGCGGGTACTGACGATGCTCTTGAGCGTTGTATTTTGCTAGGTGATCAGGAATCGCAGGAGCTGCAGCTGGCGGAGAAGTTGGCCGAGCTGGAGAGTGGCGCGTCCCTGGAGGGCGACCAGCTGTTCAAACCGATCTCATCTTCACCTCGCATCACTACCTCCTTGGAGGAACCACTAGAGCTGGAGCTTAAGCCCCTCCCTCCTCACTTGGAGTATGCATTTCTCCGGGAGGGGAATAAGCTTACAGTCATCTTCAGCTCGTCCCTCACACCCAAGCAGAAGGACAGACTGGTGGCCTTGCTGAAGCGGCACGAGCGTGCTCTAGCATGGAAGATCACAGATATCCGGGGGATCAGCCCTTCCTTCTGCTCCCACCGGATACTGATGGAGGATGAGATGCGGCCAGTGAGACACCCGCAGAGAAGACTGACACCGAACCTGGAAGCTGTGGTTCGGGCAGAGATCGTGAAGCTGTTGGACGCGGGGATCATCTTCGCCATTTCCGACAGCGAGTGGGTCAGTCCCACCCAGGTGGTACCCAAAGAGGGTGGGATGACCGTGATGCCCAACGAGAAGAACGAGCTCATCCCGATGCGCACGGTGACTGGGTACCGTGTCTGCATTGATTACCGGCGTCTCAACGATGCCACTCGGAAGGACCACTTCCCACTGCCGTTCATTGACCAGATGCTGGAGAGTCTGGCGGGGCACGAGTTCTAGTGTTTCGTGGATGGGATGTCTGGGTACTTCCAGATACCCATTGCACTGGAGGACCAGACGAAGACCACTTTCACCTGTCCCTTCGGCACATTTGCCTACCCGAGGATCCCGTTCGGGCTATGTAACGCCCCCGCCACTTTTCAGCGATGCATGCTCGCCATCTTTGACCGTCTGGTCGGCGAGATTATGGAGGTGTTTATGGACGACTTCTCGGTCTACGGAGACTCATTCTCTCACTGTCTCCATAACCTAGAACTCGTCCTTAAACGGTGTGAAGAAACGAACCTGGCACTGAGTTGGGAGAAGTGCCACTTCATGGTTCGCAAAGGCATAGTTCTGGGGCATAAGATCTCCAAGATGGGGATTGAGGTGGACAGAGCAAAGATCGAGACTATCAGCAAGCTGCCTCCTCCTACATCTGTTAAGGGGATCCGGAGTTGCTTAGGCCATGCAGGGTTCTACAGGCGGTTCATCAAGGATTTTTCGAAGATCGCCCTGCCCCTGACTAAGTTTCTTGAGAAGGATGCCCCCTTCCAGTTCACTGATGCATGCACAGCGGCTTTCACGACCTTGAAGGAGAAGCTCACTCAAGCTCCTATCATGGTTGTTCCTGACTGGTCCCTGCCATTTGAGCTGATGTGCGATGCCAGTGACTTTGCTGTTGGAGCTGTATTGAGGCAGAGGCGAGATTAGCACTTCTGACCTATCTACTACGCTTCGAAGACC